TAGTTACGGGAACATAGAGGACAATGTTAGATGCGACTCACCTCTCTAAACGGACGTAGCTCGTCTTATAAAAGACGAATTTTAACCGCCGAGTTCTTCCCTGTCCAAGCACCGTGACTCGCCATCTTGCTCTGAGCAGCAGCGTGGTCTAACCACCTGACAGAACCACCTGATAAGGAATCATCATAATTTGCATTTTCTCATTAAATAATCAAGTTAGGCCATGTTGATTTGATTATATGATTGACATCCACTGGGAACCCCAAAACTAATGCGATCGTGCGAATAAAAAATACTTGCCTTCATTCTGAAATCTAGGTGGTCATGAAGGTTGGACAAATGACTAAACACAAAAGTAATATTTTATTGGCATGGTGAATAATAGACTCTTTATTTTCATTCCTTCCCATTTTCTTCTTTTCTTTCGGAATTGATTTTGGCATTCTGCGACATAAGTATCGTTGTCCTTTTTCAGTTTGCGGCACGTATTTGTTCATTTTGCAGCTGCTTTGTACGATTTACAGTATGGCCGTTTGGAAACGGACGAAAATTCATGCGCGCGCGGATGTCATCTATGTAATCAAATCAACATGGCATTAGATGTTAAGAATATGCTGTATACTACTATACATTTAACAACCTACGAAAATATTTGGGTGCACTGGTGCACTCACAGAAAATAATTGGGTGCACAGCTCCAAATTTGGGTGCACTAAGGTGCACATGCACCCAGTATGTCGAGCCCTGCTTAGTGTGAAGTTTGCCTCCTGGTGGCCGACCTTGGTACTGCAGCATAACATTTTTGTATCTCCTCTGGATATGCCATAGTTTGGGTTCTAGCTTTTTATGTGCTGTACATTTGATTCCCCCTGCGGATTAAGTACACTAAAGGGAGCTTCTGGCGAAATCCCGTCTCCGTCCGATATTAAAGGTACTGCAACTTTCTTCAACCGACAAGCAGCGCACCAATCTTTAACTAAGAAAACAACGCAAAATCTCCTAATCCCCATAAGACTTAATTTTACTTCTCTCCGCTCAAGAAAGCAGCGCTCTTAATCCAGAAAGCGACTTGCGTCTTTCCTCTTCGTCCAAAAACGTACCGCCCAGACAATCTATCCTACCATGAGCTTAGTCTAATCTTGGGTTGTTTGTCACATGCACACGGCATTGTGGATCGGCTACCGAAGGAGGCAGACACCATACAAGAAAAACAGCAACCTGTACCCGAGTCATTTTTACGATTTCCTACCAAAAGGTATGAGTCTGCCAGTTGACGACCAGCTAAATCGGTTGTATCAATTTGCTATGCCTTAAGCCTCGGTCACAACCCGCCGTACGTGCTTTTTGTCCGTACGTTTTTTGGGAGGCTACGTTTGCTTCGTTTTTTTCTGAAAACGTGGGGAGGGAGTGGCATCGACGCACGTCACTCGCACGGTTGCGCAAGGTGTAAGAGTGGGGTCTGCACGCCACGTCTGGCTGTGAGCGGTTGCGTGCATCGTACGTTGCGCAAGTGGTAAGTGACTTGTACTTGCTTACAACGTACGATCTCTGTGCGATTGTAACTTTACCGTAAGGAGGTCGTACTCACACGTGCTTCTTCCGCACGGCACGTACGGGGCACGCGCAGACCGCACGTAGAAAAAAGTTTTACATGCACTTAAAGTTCTACGGCGTGTCTGTGTGCTCCCAAATCCGTAGAATTCCGTACGGAGGTGGTACTCACCACGCACGGATGCCCTACGTTTGCCCACGTTTTTGCACGTAGACAGCACGCAGAAGCACGTACGGCGGGTTGTGACCGAGGCTTTAATCAAGTTATAATTTTCTAAGCAGATGTTAAGGCGGAAAATTGTGACGTTTTTTCAGTGTCGGCAGGGGTAGACAGCTGTCAGCATAAATGTTGTTTTGGAAAGTCGGTGCCACATTTTTTGCTCTTTTGCGCGATCATTTGCACTTACTGTGGAATTCATGTTTAGAGAGAGGATTTTAAAAGGAAGTTCTTGGATTGGTTTACCTAATCAGCCCAGTTTTTATACGCCAAAAAACAGTTACTGAAGCAACTGGATATGATTTTGGAAATGCCAGACGTTTCAGCTAGTATCCACTAGCTTTCGTCAGTGACTGAGAGACCAGAAGAGAAATGCAGGTTTATAAGCACAAACTATTGATTGATATGTAAATAACATGAATACAATTTTTGGAAGTCGAAAAAAGGAACAAAAGTCAGGCAAGTCAAGACAAGATAATGCAAATTAGGCAGAAAGCTCCTGTAATGCCCAGTTTTTTTGTTTTCAATTTCTTGCCATGGATATTGTTTTTGCTAAGTTTCTTCCTTCTTCTCTTCCTCTTCTGTTCCAAACACTAACCTTTGACCTGGCCAATGACATGATTTGTTGACATCTGTCACCATGGTGACCGGTATTGGGTTACATGATGTTGCAATTTCATGGTCTGCTCTGCTCCTGTCACCATATGCTAGTAGCACATTGTACATGTATGTGAATGTGTTTGAGTAAGAATTAACAGAGCAGACCATGTCCAAAGGTAAACATTATGCATTTGTTTGCAAATGTTACTTCTCTAGATTTCAGTTGCTTCTTCATTGGACGTAGCAGTCACAGTTATATTGTCATTAATAAATGGTTTTTATTGTCCAAACAGTACCCGTGCAGTCGCAGCCTTTATACGGCTGAATTGGTGCAGGGTATCACATAATAATCAATACAAATCACAACAATTACAACAATCAAATAATACAAATAATACACATATTTGTTCCACAATCAATTTTGGAACCTTGGAACTGTCGCAAGGGTCTGTGCGGCTGCCATTCGGCGCCACAAGGTGACCTCAATACAACTTTCCCCAACCGAAGTTAGGTACCCATTCACACCTGGGTGGAGTGAGGACATTCGTGTAAAGTGCCTTTCCCAAGGGCACAACGTCGGGGCGCATGTTCAGACGTGTCCCGGGTACGACTCGGAATCGAACCCGGGTCTCCCGGTTCACAGTCTATTGCTCTAACCACTACACCACCCGACGCCACATCATGTTTTCTCTATCCAACTGCAGTCCATCGTTTGGCCACGCTGTATCTATAGTTTTTCATGTAGAAGGAAAACATCGTTTTTGCTTAGCTTCTTCTACTTCTTACGTTCCAAACAAATAAAGTCAATGACCTGGACCAGACGTCTGTCACCATGGTAACTTGTGCTGTAGCAGTGGTGTTGGGTTACATGACGTGGCAGAACAGATTTAGAGGGGCTGGTCACCATGCATATCAATGTATTTGGCTTTGAGTAAGAATGGACTGTGCAGTTGTAACAGTTTGTTTGGCTAAACAATGTGAAAGTTAACATTAGGAATTTGCTTTGCAAATGTTATCTTTCCAGTTTTAATTTCTGTCCTTTTCCAGATAGAATATTACCACACACACATAAAGATATATGTTTTTTATGGAGGGGACAAAAATAATGGAGAAAAAGTTTTCACAGGAAGAAATCTTGTACATTTGTGCTGAAAATGAAACCTAAAAAAAAGCAACCTCACGTCTTGTCTACAAAAAAGTCTGAAACGGGAAACTAGAGATTCTACTTTCATTTGTTTGCAGTGCTGCTGTTAAGTCACAAGGCCAAAAATCAGTCATGTCCACGCTCAAAGTACAAGATTTAAAGCTGTCATAATCTTCTCTTTGTCCCAAAAATACGTCCGGCCTCTTCATAACAAAGTGCTGCGCCTTTCGTTTCCATGTTAAAAACAAGACACGCACTTTTATTCACCCGAACATCACCGAACGTTTTACCTCATCCGACAAAGCACCATTCAGACAATTAATTCCACCACGCATATAAGCTTTATCTTGTGTTGTTTGTCACACGGCATTACGGATAGGCTACTGACGGCTTTCTGGTTTCTACCCAAAATCTCTTCATACAAGAAAGCAGCGCTCTTTTTTAAATGTCTTGATCCCCAAAAGCACCGAACTTCTTTGTCCAAAAATCACCCCCGCTCTTTAAATAAAAGGCATCGCATTTTCCGCACAAGAACGCACTTCTATTCAGACGAAAAGCACTGCACTCGTTACCTCTTCGAATCCATCTAGGAAAGCACTTTTCAGGCAATCACCGTGACTGTGTGTATATACGACTTGGATTTTTGTCACATGGCATTATTTATAGATCAGCTACCGAAGGAGAACACCCCCCAAGAACAACGGAGTAAGCCCTGCTCCAGTTCCCACCCAGAAACTGTCAAATAAAGCTATCGTGACTGGTACGTGTATGCCAGTTTACAATCAGTAAAGCTAAATCAGCCCCGAGGACAGACAACACTTAAGCTCCTGTTCTGTATAACAGGAGCTTTCAGACTAATTTGCATCATCCTGTCTTGACTTGTCTGACTTTTGTTCCTTTTTCGACTTCCAAAAATTTGTCTTCACTTTATTTGCATATCAATCAATAGGTTGTGCTTATAGACCTACTTTCCCCTCTGGTCTCTCAGTCACTGACGAAAGCTAGTGGATACTAGCTGAAACGTCTGACGTTTTCAAAATCATATCCAGTTGCTTGAGTAACTGTTTTTTGGCGTAAAGCTAAATCTTTTGTGAATAAAGAGACTCTTTTTACGCCTTGATCCAGTTTAATATTACACACTTTTTTCTCATGAAAAATTATAACGATTTCACCATTGAGTTGCATGTTACTATCATAATAACTATGCATATGCATTGGCAATGTGAATACTTTGCATAGGTATTTTTGCTGATGAGCGAGATTGCAAATGTAAGTCTTTTACAGCTGGTAATCACCATACGTGAGATTTACAGGCCCTAAACATTTCATAATGATATGAGATAGCTAAACCTCTAGTTACAGTTACTTCTCATGATGGGGTCTGTCACTGCTGATTTGCTGACTAAGTCACGTTTCAGGTCCAGGACATAAGATTGGTGTGATCTATTACATGAGAGGCTTGCCGTTCTGTTTAGGTGACATAGCACCATGGGAAGAAAGCTGCGGCACGTGCTGATCTTCCTTCTCATCATCCTGAAGGAGCCCAACATGCCAGAAGCTGATTGCGACTGTAGATCATCATCACACTGCGGAAAGGGCCTCACCAGCATCCCTCAGGACCTCCCAACATCCATCTCTAAGTTAAATCTACTTAGTAACCGTATCAAAACTGTAAAGCAGTCTGAGCTGTTATTGTATAAGAACTTGCGTTCTGTGTGCCTCAAACGCAACCAGATAACAACGATTGAAGCAGGCACATTTGCAAATCTGCCCAAGTTACGATATTTGAACCTGCACCGTAACCTCATAACCAACATCCATCCTGGTACATTTGCAAATCTGCCCAAGCTACAAGAGTTGTACCTGTCCTACAACCAGATAACTACCATCCCTGCTGGTACATTTGGAAATCTGCCCCAGCTACAACAGTTGTGGCTGGACAACAACAAGATAACTACCATCCATTCTGGTATATTTGCAAATCTGCCCCAGCTACAACGCTTGCACCTGTACTGCAACAAGATAACAACGATTGAAGCAGGCACATTTGCAAATCTGCCCAACTTACGATATTTGAACCTGGCCCGTTACCTCATAACTACCATCCATCCTGGTACATTTGCAAATCTGCCCAAGCTACAAGAGTTGGGGCTGAACAACAACCAGATAACTACCATCCCTTCTGGCACATTTAGGAAATCTGCCCCAGATAGAATGGTTGTACCTGAACGACAACCAGATAACTACCATCCATTCTGGCACATTTGCAAATCTGCCAAAGCTACAAGAGTTGTGGCTGAAAAGCAACCAGATAACTACCATCCCTTCTGGCACATTTGCAAATCTACCCAAGCTACAAGAGTTGTACCTGCACGACAACCAGATAACTACCATCCCTTCTGGCACATTTGGAAATCTGCCCCAGATAGAATGGTTGTACCTGAACGACAACCAGATAACTACCATCCATTCTGGCACATTTGCAAATCTGCCAAAGCTACAAGAGTTGTGGCTGAACAGCAACCAGATAACTACCATCCATTCTGGTGCATTTGCTAATCTACCCCGGCTAAAACAGTTGTACCTGAGCATCAACCAGATAACTACCATCCCTTCTGATACATTTGCAAATCTGCCCCAGATAGAATGGTTGTACCTGAACAGCAACCAAATAACTACAATCCATTCTGGTGCACTTGCAAATCTTCCCCAGCTACAAGGGTTGTGGCTTTCGAACAACAAAATGACGGCCATTCCCCCTTCAGTCTTCTGCTTGTTCCCATTTAATGACATAATAGAACTTGACGACAACCCCTGGCACTGTGACTGTAGGATGGCTCCCGTCAGGCTAATCTATGCACTTAAGAACAGGATCATTTGTGCCCAACCCGCCAAACTTCAGGGACAGAAGCTTGTAGATGTCGATCCTAAAGAATTGACATGTAAAGAGGCAACCACATCACCACTAACTGTTGATAGCTGTTCTGCTGCAGTGTCAACACCTTCAGTTAGTATCACGGAAAGCAATACTAGCCCATCAGTCTTTAAAACCACCGCTGGCTCAACAGCAAACCCCGCAGAAAACACAAGCAAAAAAAGTGCAACACTAACTTCGCCCTATGAAATCACTTCAGACAAACCAGAATCTGCTCCCAGTTCCCCCCAGCCGGCCGCATTAACACGGATAGCTGATATCCAATTGATCTCACACAACTCTCACTATCACTGGTACTTTAAGGTCAATGCTGCCCCAATATCAGATCCCGCAGGCAAAACAGAGCAACACTAACTCCGCCCCTTGCAATCACTCCAGACAAACCAGAATCTTTTCCCAGTTTCCCCCTACCTGTTCTCATAGGAGTGATTTGGCCCAGGTCAAATCAGTTAATTAACGTACTATCCCGAACCTCACCAGGGGGGCCAGCCACCACGAGATCGGTCATTCTGAGATTTCTGCCGGGGTGAACACACGTGTTACTGGAATTGCCCTGATTAGCGCCATCATTTTTACAGTGTGGTGCAAGATAAAGAGCAGGCGTCACCCTTTAGGGTTAAATCCCAATGTTGTTGTTGGAAACACAAACACGGCAGTTTCAGTTATGGATAACCCGTATGAGGATGTTGACAAGGCAGAGCAGGGCCAGGCTAACATTCAATGTCTGAACGTTGGAAATCCATCCCATAACCAAGTGCTAGCTGCCTTAAAGCCAAATCCTATGTATGCAGGTACAGGTAACGCAGCAGTTTCTGTAATGGCCAGTGGTGACGATCACCAGTACGAAGACATTGATAAACCCCGTGTTAAGACAGGGCAGGGTCAGTCTCAGACCATAACTGAATCCAACACAAACACCACAGCTACTGTAGTGGCCAGTGGTGATGATCACCAGTATGAAGATATTGACAACCCTCGTGTTAAGACAGGACAGGGTCAGTCTCAGGCCAACACTGAATCCAACACAAACACCACAGCTACTGTGATGGCCAGTGGTGATGATCAGGCAGGGCAGGGTCAGTCCCAGACCAACACTGAATCCTTTGATGCTAGTAATCTATCTTATGGCACACGGCCGACTGCCTCACAGCTGAATTCTCTGTACAAGCACAAAACAGCTACTGAAATGGCCAGTGGTCATGATCAGGCAAGGCAGGGTCAGTCTCAGACCAACACTGAATCCTTGGATGCTAGAAATCTATCTTATGGCACACGGCCTACTGCCTCACAGCTGAATTCTCTGTACAAAACAGGTGCTGAAATGGCCAGCGGTCAGGATCAGACAGGACAGGGTCAGTTTCAGGCCATCACTCAATCTCCAACAGATCTGTTACACAATGAAGTGCTAGCTGCCTTACAGCCAAACCCTATGTAATATGTAGATGTGAAAACACCACCAACATCTCCAGAAATGGCCAGTGGTGACGATGACCAGACAGGGCAGGATCAGTCTCAAGCTAATATTCTCTGAAGGTTGGGAATTTATCACATAGCGAAGTGCTAGCTGCCTTACAGCCAAACCCCATGTAATAATAAACTATGTAGATTCCAAAACACCACCAAAGAACCCAACATGTACAGAAATGGCCAGTGGTCAGGATCAGACAGGGCAGGATCAGTCTCAAGCTAATAGTCAATCTCTGAAGGTTGGGAATTTATCATATAACGAAGTGCTAGCTGCCTTACAGCCAAACCCCATGTAATAATAAACTATGTAGATTCCAAAACACCACCAAAGAACCCAACATGTACAGAAATGGCCAGTGGTCAGGATCAGACAGGGCAGGATCAATCTCGAGCTAATATTCAATCTCTGAAGGTTGGGAATTTATCATATAACGAAGTGCTAGCTGCCTTACAGCCAAACACTATGTACTATGTAGATGAAAAAAAACAACATCTCCAGAAATGGCCAGTGATCATCTTTAGGCAGGTCACTGATCCTTACACCATAACACATATCATAAATTCTATGTAGGAACATTTTAAGCACCAAATTAAGTCCAAAATTTTCACACGCAGGTTGTCAAAAATCGACAAAAGAGCAATAGTTGTTTTTTTGAGAATATTGAAACATCATAGACAGAACGTGAGATTATTCATCTGCAGGATTTTTATTCATCTAGGTCATTTATTTATTTATTTACCATTGAAAGACATCGATAAATACAACTGAGTGTTTGCTGAAAGTCTTGAAAGATCTCATCTGTTTGTCGCTCTAAGAGCCAAACACCTAAAGGTCTAGGGAAACATGTTTTAAAGCCTTTCGTATGTCACATTTGCAACTGCCTCAGTCTGAACTTACTTTTACCAGAATTTAGCAGAAACCTAAATGTTTATGGAAGTTGCATGTATATTTCACTGCTTAATTCTCTGTACAAAAACGTAGAAATAGCATCCAGATTTCACTGCTACATACATATACACATGGTAGACATTTGGGGCTGGGAGGGACTAAGTATTTTTACATCCTAAAACCCGGAGCAGCAAGGTGCAGATCATTCCCCTATAGACTCTGTTTTCATGTTAATCATCCAGATCAGCGTTATTATTATATCAAGTCAAAGATATTACAAAATAATAGAACTTTTGAGACCTTAATGTACTTCTGAATAGAAAACTGTTGTATATGCCATAAATGCATTTTTCCAGTAACTTTTTAGTGAATTTTCTCTAACAAAGACAACCTCTAATGGAATGTAAAAAAAAAAAAAAAGCATTGTAAATGTCAGTACAGAAACCTGAAAGCTTTGTACATAAACTTCTGAAAAAAGCTGCTATATGTGTCATAAAATGCAGTTCATCTAGAAACTTTTTTAGTAAATTTAGTTGCCTTTCTGTAACAAAGACATATCTACCTGAAATTTGTAACAACCTCTCTTGGGATGTAAAAGAATCAAACAAAACTGGGCAAACTGAGGCTTTGTGAATTTCAGTACAAAAACGTGAATCTTTGTAAATGAACTTCCGAATAGAAAACTGCTATGTATAATATAAAGGCATTTTATCTAGTAACTTTTTAGTAGCCTTTCTCTAACAAAGACACGTCTACCCGTAACCTGTAATTTGTAACAACCTCTCATGGGAGATAGAAAAAAATAATAGAAAAATAATACTAGCAATTTGGACGCCCACAAATTTACGATTGGGCGAATTGGGGCTTTATAAACATTTGTACATCAGTATTTCGTGGGTTGTGAAGAATTACAGCTAAAAAAATTGTTGTTGTAATATGCCAGGTGGACACCAGATGATATGTTTAAATACTTGAATAATCATTTATTTCTAACTTTGTAAATTACATTATTACTTAAGAGAAATGTAAAGCTATGTAAAGTTTAATAGTATCTCCAGTATGTGTGAAAGTTGCTTAGGGGCTTAAAATTTCTGAAACTAACATTCTTTATGAGACTCCCCCATACATTATATCTAATGGTATAAGAATTGTACACAAATTCAGATGTTAGAGTTAACAATTGCGTAGCACTAGAAACTGTTGTCATACTGACTTATCCTTGTAAAACTGAGAACAGGGAAGCCAGAGAGTGTTTGGTCACTCTGTGTTAAGCATGCACAATCCGAGTTTGAAAAGTGCAGAGGAAATGATAAAGTTTTCATGCACTACTGCAGAAATTATCAAATAAGCAAATTATCCCGTCCGCTCCATAGTGATATAGTCAACATTGCTTTTTAAAATTGAAATTGAATGCTGTCTTCACACATGTGAACTACCGCAGAAACTATCGAATAAGCAAAGTCATCATCACTACTTAATTCGACGTTTTTAAAGATGAACCTTGCCTTTACACAATTAATAACAACAGTGGTTTTTACTTATCGTTTCATTATTGTTGTATTCACGTTGTAATCTTTATGAATGTATTTTTTAATGTGTGTGCCAAGGAAAAACAGATTCACGGATCTGAGATATGCCCTCTTAAAATAAACTTGAAACTTGATGTGACAAATTTAAAACAATGTCAGACAGAGCAAAAATTCCCTAGTGACTTAAATTATGATGATATTGTTTTACCCATGCATATAATATGCATATATGAATGTCAAGTACATTATTTAAATGGGCACTTTATTGCTTAACATTAAGTATGCTTAATAAAATAAAATCATGCACTGACCCCACCCTTTGCATGTCTATTTCTTTAGTGAGAAGCTCTAGCGGTTACTTAAGAAATTGCAGGTTTCAGTGTTTCAATGTTTTATAATGAGCCAGTTTCTTCTACTAGGTTAATGGTCACATTAATGTGACTCGTATAAAAAGTACATTGTCTAAACTGACAATATTTATCAGGAAAAATCGTAATAAAATAGCCTTCATGCCAGCTTCTGGCACCTTGCAGCTCTTATATTTGCTGGCCAGGCAAAATTAGATATTAGTGATAATTTTTTGCACCCACCCACCCACTCATAATACATATGTAAAGGTAAATACTCATACTTTATCATTTAATCTTCGAAGACACCTGGGTAGCTCCTTCAGCCAAAGCTGATTTCCAAGGAGGCCCAGGGGGGTACAATAAGTAAAAGAATAATAAATTATACAAAGTACATAACAAAAGATGTAAAAGAAATCAATATAACTGGATGTTATACATAAATAAATGAATAATACAAAGTTCAACATGAACTGAAGAAATTTACAAGAAAACATAACTTCAAATCATAATCATAATCAACTTGCAAGCGAGATGAATTTTTGTTCCAGAATTTTAAAAAAAAGTTCCATTTACTCTCATGCCATATTCGGTTCAAGAGTTTAAAATGCAACTATTTGCTCATCTGACATGATCAAGACTTAGAAATCTGATATTAGGCAGTTTTTATTTTTAGTATAATGTAGGAATGACGAAAACAAGTAAATATGCATCTCGAGACCTGCATTATGATTATGCTTTTCAACATAATCATGAATATTAACATTATTCAAATAGCCAGCTTCAGACAATTAACTCCACCATTTACGTAAGACCGATCCTGTTTTTTTTTGTCACACTGCATTGCGGATCAGCTACCGAAGGAGGCAGACACACCGTACAAGCACTACAACAACCGTTGTCGGAGGTGTTTTAAAAGCGTTAATGTCAAAAGAGTTCCAGTTACATGTAAAGCTATTCTGATCGACTAAAAGGTGGGTCACGTAAAATTCATTTTCAAACCTAAATCAGAGTCTCAGGACTACGCACATAGGCATAGTTTTATTTTATTTAATTTTATTCTATTTGCATAGTTACTTCTAATAATCATGTTTAATTCTCCAAACAGATGTCAAAATGAAAGATTGTGCAGTTTTCGTAATGGTAAATACTAGTAGCTGTTTTAAAAGTTAATTATACAATTTCATTGAA